GGACAGCTTGAGGCTCTGTCTCAAAAAAAAAAAAAAAAAAAACAAAGTAAAAGGAGAGATGTAGTATAGGCTTATAGGTAAAAGCAAAAGTATGACAACAATAATACAAAAGACAGAAGGGAGAAATCAGAGTATACTGTCATAAAGTTCTTACATTATATACAAAGCTATGCAATATTTCTGGAAGACAGACTGTGTAAAGAGGTAGACTGAAAAAAATTAAAATAAAGATGTAGACTGTAAACCCTAAGGCAATCATTAAAAAAATTATAGATATATAAATAGTAAGCCAACAGTGGAGATAAAATAATAAAAAATACGCAGGGAGCAGTGGCTCATGCCAATAATCGTAGCACTCTGGGAGGCTAAGGTGGAAGATTCCTTGAACTCAGGAGCTCAAGACTAGCCTGGGCAAGAGCGAGATCCAGTGTCTTGTAAATAAAGAAAAAATTAGTCAGGCATTGTGGCAGGCACCTGTACTCCTGGGTCCTAGGGAGGCTGAGGCAGGAGAATCATTTGAACCTAGGAGTTTGAGGTTGTTGTGAGCTATGCTGACACCATGGCACTGTAGTCAAAGCAACAGAGAGTTAGATTCTGTCTCAAAAAAACAAAAAACTACACACAGACATAGAGACTAGCCTAGAGATACAGTGAGAGCCTGTTTCATTAAAAAAAAAAAAAGAGAGAGAGAGATATGTAATATTTTCACCAAACATTAGGAATATGGCAAAGATACCTACTCTTGCCATGACCATTCAACAGTAAGCTACAGGTCCTGGAGGGCAAATAAGACAAATAAAAAATTAAAAATGCATATAGATTAGGAAGAAATAAAGAAAACTGCCTCTATTTACTAATGACACACCATCTATATAGAAAATACCAAACCATCTAAAAAAGTCTTCTAGGCTTGGCGCCTGAAGCACAGTGGTTACAGCACCAGCCACATACTCCAAGGCTGGGTTCGAAACTGGCCCGGGGCCAGCTAAACGACGACAACTGCATAAAAATAAATAAGTAAATAAAATAAAAAAGGCTTCTAACTGAGTTTAGCAAGGCCCCAGTATACAAAGTCAATATTTTGTACTATCAATTATACTTCTATATTCTAGCAATACTAGAAATTAACATCTTTTGAAGTACCATTTATAATAGAACCCAAACATATGAAATATCTAGGTACAAATCAACAAAATATGCCAACTACAAACCATTGACTGTAGCAGGCCCCCAGCATGGTCCCTAATGATCTCTACTTCCTAGTATCATGTCTCTGAGCCATCCCCTTCCCAAGTATGGGCTATACTTAGTGACTTGGTTCTAACCAGTAGAATATGACAAAGATAACAAATTGTCACTTCTGTGATTAGGTTACAAAACATTGTGACTTCTACCTTGCTAAGTAGACTCTCTATTGCCTTCTCAATTTGCATGTTTTGATGGTGGCAAGCTGTGTGTGGGAGAGATCTTTGTGACAAAAAAAAAAAAAAAACCAAACAGGACATGGCTTCTAAGCAACAGAGCTAACAAGGAACTGAGGACCTCAGTCAAACAGCCTGTGAGGAACTGAATTCTGCCAACACCAGAATAAACCTGAAACCAGATCCTTCTCTAGGTGAGTCCCCAGATCATAGGCTGGCACCTTACTTGACAGCAACCTGTGAGACATGGACTTACAGAGCTGTCAGGTCCCACTCCATTCCTCTCCTGGTTCTTCTTCAACCTTTGAAATGGTGAACTTCACATGTCCTTCCACTACATTCCCTTTTCGCTTATGTGAAACAGGTTTCTATTTTGCCTTGCAAACAAAGAAACTTAACTGAGAAAACAAATTTTTGCATACTTAGGAAAAATCTGAACAGTGTTTAGGTTGAGTATTTCATGAATAAAAGAAATGAAATTGTGTAGGATACAATTCCAGACTCAAATCAGCTTAAGTCATCCTATTTTCACATTATGCTGTTTATCATGCCCAGTACCTGTGACCCAGTAGTAAATATCCCAGTCATTACTAGGCTCATTAATCAGGCGATCATAGAGGTTCAGCTGCTTCTCTGTCATATGCTGCAGATGTTCTTTGGCAAAAAGGCTAAAAATAAGAAAGAAAAAGAAGCTGAAAAGGCTGTCTCTAACCAAAGTGAAGTGATAACAAGACTTCTATTTCCATACCTAAGGAGAATGCAGTTTTCCAACATTCCCCTCTTTCTGCTCTCATAGAGGAGGCGGGCTCTTTTGGTTTCTATGGATTCATCAGTTCTCTCCTGCCATGGAGGTAAAGGGATTTCAATCATGTCTTTTTGGGAATCTGCTGGGCTGTCACCTCTGTAGAAGCGTCTGAATGATGTCACGCCGAGCAAAGGAGAAAATAGGCTGTGCCTTGATGGAACAAGCACCTAAAACAAATGACAAATATCTTTATAATAACAACTGTCATCACTGTCATTTAATCAATGCTTACTAGGTGCTAAATGCATTCAATCTCATTTAGTGTTTAAGAAGTTGGTTCTCCTTTACAGCCAGGAAATCAGAGGCTCAGAGAGATTAAACAACTTAACCAAAATCATTGAAATAGTAATTGTAGTTAAGATTGAACCCAATTTTAACTGCAAATGTGTTCTTAACCAGTGCCCTTCCTGAAATAAACCCAACAAAAATAATTTCTCTTCTCTTCACATTCCCTTAAAATTCGTACAGTATAGTTTGTATTCTGTTCACTCACCTAGAAACCCTGAGCATACAGATAACATAGCCCCTAGTCCCCCAAGGGCTCTCAATCTAGAGAAGGGGAACTTTATCTAGATACAATGTGAAGGTGATAACTTCAGCAAGATGGTAGAATGATAGGATAGGAACTCTGTGATGAAGAGAGAAGATGATAGAATAGTAGAATAGGAACTCTTCTCTCTGTGATGAAGACACTGACTCAACAAGAATACATAGACTAATTCCCTTTGTGAGCAACCCAAACACCAGTCATGAGGCTCCTGCACCCCAGATGAGGGCAAAACACTCACCACAGTCCCTCCACCTCTACCCTGGCTCAGTGTGGCATGATCATAAGAAAACTCCCAGCTCCCAGGTCTACCTGGGAAGGGAAGAGAAAACTGAAAAGTATGTCCAATGTTCAGACTTTTGGGGGAGGGGGGGTGAGAGTATGAGCTGGTTTCTGTCTTGCCTGAATCCAGAAACCCAATGAGCTGGTTTCAGTCTTGCCTGAATCTAAGTGCTGGCAGGAAAGGGCATCATGTTGAGAACAATGGAGAACAAAAGTGACAGTTTGGGCAGGCACGGGGGTTCACACAGGTGACTGCCTGAGCTCACAAGTTAAAGAACAGCCTGAGCCAAAGTGAGACCTCATCTCTAAAAAAATAAACAAACAAACAATAGCCAGGCCTTGTGGTGGGCACCTGTAGTCCCAGCTACTTGGGAGGCTGAGATAAGAGAATCGCTTGAGCCCAAGAGTTTGAGGTTGCTGTGAGCTGTGATAAGATGGCACTCTACTGAGAGCAACAAAAATGAGAGATTTATCTTAAAAACAAAACAAAACAAAAAAAAGTTGACAGTTTGGACTAGCAAGCACTCACTCATCATAGTGCACCCATCCCCCGCTCAGTGTGGAACAAGCAGGAGAAAATCCAGACCTCCCAGCTTCTTCCTAGGGAGAGAAGGCATTGGTGTATGCATACAATGTTCCAGCTTTTCAGGAGGCTGCCCATGGGACTGATGTCAACCTTGAAACACTTGACAGGACCTAGCATACTTGAGATACTTGGGGACCACTGAGAACAAAAGAGCTGAATAGTCTACTGCTGATCCAGAGGACTCCTAAAATAGCAGAAAAAGGCCAACACTGCTTGGTGGCCTTTCCTTGGTGCAGTGGCATTTTGGGGAGCTACCTGGAGACTGGTTTCTGTCTTGCCCAGCTTGGAGTGGGCCCACTCCAGAAGTCTGAGTCTGAATAAGAGAACTGGCTGACTTGCAGCAACTCCAGAGAAACTGCAGTATTACAGAGAAATACCACAAGAAACAAAAAATTTTGAGCTCCTGAAAAGGAAACTAGCAAATCCCTTTACCTGGAAATCTATGCCCACAAATATAGAGAAGACACATTCTCAGAAAAGGATTGAGAGGCCCTCAGAATCTCTAACCAGTTTGATCAGTGAAAGTCAGTCACCAATATGAAGACATGCCATAAAGACTGGGAGAGATCTGAAAATATAGGGATTTCGGTGCAGTTACATGGTACACTAATAAACAGAGGAACAGTCCGATCATAGAAACAAAATAAATCTTCATGAAATAACTTTAAAGAAAGAGAAGTATAAGAATATCTTACAAAGAATTAAAAATAACATAGTAAAGATGTTCAACAAGCTCAGGAGAGTAATGCTTGAACAAAATGAGAATATCAACAAAAAAATGGAAAAATAAGAGCCAAACAAATTTTGGAGTTGAAGAATACAATAACTAACTGAAAAATTCACTGGAGGGATACCATAGCAGACTTGATCAAGCAAAAGAAAAAGTTAGCAAACTCAAAATAGGTCATTTGAAATTACCCAATCAGAGGAGTAAAAGAAAAAAAAATGTCAAAGAGTGAAGAAAGCCTAAGGGATGTGTGGGGCATCTTCAAGGAGATCAATATACATATTATGGGAGTCCCAGAAAAGAGAGAAAAAGGGAAGAAAGTTTATTTGAAGAAATAATACCCCCAAACCTTCCAAATTTCGGAAAGAATGGGCATCTAGGTTCATAACAAAGAAGTTCACACTGAGATACATTATAATCAACTTGTAAAAAGTCAGAAAAAGCTGGCCATGCTTATAGTTCCAAATTTCACTCACTTTTTCTGTTAGTTTCAAGGTAGTATTCTAGGAATGAAACTATATTGGGTGTGGTGAAGATCCATGAGTCCTAAGAATTGTGTAACAAAGTTATGAGTTGCATTATTAAAGAAATTATTGCTGAAAACATATAATGGAATATAATCTGAGTTGTCTGTCTCAAAAAAAAAAATTCTGGGGGGGGGAATGGGTGGAGGGAGGGGGTTGGAGGGATCACTTCTGAGGTTTATCTTACAAGGGTACAAGTGAATCTTTCTAAGAGTAGAATGTGAACATTTTAAAACAATAACTAAGAAAATGACACGAAAGCTTTGTTAACCAGTTTGATGGAAGTGTTTCGGATTGTGTGTGAAAACCCCACACTATACCCCAGAAGTGCATTAATGTACATAATTACCACTCAATAAAAAATAAAAATTCTGAGAGGAAAAAAATGCCAACCAAATATACTGTCCTTCAAAATCTTTTCTCCTTTCTTTTACTCCTCTCATCCAGCAAAACTGTCCTTCAAAAAAGTAGGAGAAATAAAGACTTTCTCAGCTAAGCAAAAGCTAGGGAGTTCATCACCTCCAGACCTGCCTCATAAGAAAGGCTAAAGGGAATCCTTCCTATAGAAATGAAAGGATGCTAGACAACAATATGTAAGCACACAAGTATAAAAATATCAATCTCGCTGGCAAAGGTGAACATAAATGCAGCATACTGTAATAGTCTGACAACACTATGCAAACCACTTTTAATTTTGGTACAGAAGTTAAAGACAAAATATAAAAATAAATATAACTAAGAATTTAATTGATATACAACATTTAAAAAGATATAATTTTGACCACAGTAATACAAAATGGGGGGAGTAAAAGAGTAGAACTTTGATCTGCATGGAAATTAAGTTGATAGCAGCTTAGAATAGGTTATTAAAAGATTTTTTTTTTTTGGTCAGGCGCAGTGGCTCACATCTGTAATCCTAGCACTCTGGGAGGCCAAGGTGGGTGGATCACTTGAGCCCAAGAGTTTGAGGTTGCTATAAGCTAGCTAAGCTGATGCCACCTCATGCTAGCCTGGGCCGAAAAGTGAGACTCTGTTTCAAAAAATAATATACCAATAAAAACAAATACGGTATAATAATTTTTTTTTTTTTTTGAGACAGAGTCTCACTTTGTTGTCCTCGGTAGAATGTCCTTGCATCACAGCTCACAGCAACTTCAAATACTTGGGCTTAAGAGAGTCTCTTGCCTTAGCTTCCCAAGTAGCTGGGACAACAGGCACCTGCCACAATGCCCAGCTATTTTTCCGTTGTAGTTATCATTGTTCTTTGGCAGGCCCCTGGGTGGGGTTCGAACCCACCAGCCCTGGTGTACATGGCTGGTGCCCTAGGCGCTGAGCTACAAGCACCAAGCCAACAATTCTTTACATAGTATTTACACTGTATTAAGTATTGGTAAGTAATCTAGAAATGATTTAAAGTATACACATAAACCAAAAGTGAAAGGATGAAAAACAATAATCCATACAAATGGTAACCAAAAGAGGGCAGGGATACCCATACGCATAGTGAAAAACTGTTACAAGACATAAAAACAGACATATAGTGAAAAAAGGCTCAATTTACCAGGTAAGTATAACAATTTGTAACAATTATAAATATAGGCAGTACCCAAAGCTCAATGGGTAGGGCGCAGGCCACATACATCAATGCTGATGGGTTCGAACCTGGCTCAATGGGTGATGCCACAGCACTCTACTGAGGGTGACATAATGAGACTCTGTCTCAAAGAAAAAAAAAAAACAATTATAAATATAATACAATTATTTAAACTGCACACTAACTTTATGACCACCCTATATATGCACCCAACATGAAAGCACCCAAATATATGAAGCAAATATTGGCAAAACTAAAGAGAGGAACTGCAACACAATAATAGTTTTTGTGTGTGTGTGCAAATGTATTTATTAGCATAGAAAGATGTTTATGATACACTGTTACATGAATTAAGCAGGTTACAAAATGGTGAGAATAAGATCAGGATTGGTTTTTTAATTTTGGTTTTGTATTTTTTGTGGTTTTTTTTTTTTTT